CATACATGTAATCTCTCCTCACGGACAGTCTCCTCTTGAATTTAAAAGTCTAACAGCGTTCACATCAATACTCAACTTATTCTTTTGCTCACTGAGCAATACAATCTTTCCATTTTCTTTCTTCTGTTTTCTTTTTCAATTTAATCCTCCCTACCCAATATCCCTTTGGTGCGTCCATGGAGCTATGAAGCCGAGACCTCTGGTCGGCGGAGCTTAATGGGCCCCACCACCACACTCCATCATTCACCCCAGTGTCTGGAGATATGTGGATTTTGTAGAAAAAAAAAAAAAAAAACAAAAAAAAAACATCCCTCTCCAGACAGCTGTCATACGCTCTGCTGGATACGCTGACAAAGCCTCTTGTACTGCCGCTGCCAGGTCGGACAATGTCTTCTTTGTCACCATCTCGCCATCAGTTTGCAGGCTTGCAAAGAATGCCAGGTCGTTGCACTTGCAGTTCAAACGTGGCGACTGAGCTGGCTGGCCTGGCCTTGACTGTCACGCTCTCCAGGTCAGGATGTCGATTTCCCCTGCTACAGGTCCGGTCTTCGAGCTGCGCTTGGCTTTTCGCTGCAGTGAATGTGTGCATTCGCTGCAGTGCATTCACTGCAGCGAAAAGTTCCCCACTTTCCCATCACAATCGTACGAATCGCGATGCCACTGGCGCTAGTCTCGATGGTTTTTTCTTTCTTGTCTCCTTTGATCTTGCCATCACAACCTCCCAAACGAATATGAGTTAGATGTCGAGATCGGACTGGGTTTTACCGATCAAAAGGTGCGTGGGAGATAAGCGACAATTGCGATGAAACGGATCAAGTAGTATTGATGGTCCGAGTTCAAGTAGTATTTCCTACCTCATTTCGATCCAGAAGGTACCATTGCTGGCGCTCAGATCGAAGAACAGCAGGTAATACCACTGGGAGGGGAATGGGTAGAACCGATATGGCACTGCATGTGTCATTTCTCATCTCATGTCGAATAAATGTAGAATCTGGCACTCAGATGGAAGAATAGTGCCTATGCTTGTGATACTGATCGTAAACATGCTCAGTTCTTCCAGCCGTCTGAGCACCCAAATCTAAACCCCATCCAACCCCAAGATATTGTCAAATCAGGATCAATAAAACATGACATAGGTTTTGTGAAGGTCAGATGAAATCAGTGAGCTGCATCTTGGGTGACCCTTGGTCAAAGGAAATTAGCATCGACTTCTCTAATGGAATTTCCATACAGATGTGAGCTTCGAAGTCAACACTGAGATTTTATTACGGCTGAAGAAATGATTTCTCGGTCTCTACTCTGATGGTAACTTCAGTGGAGACTGGATAATTTTACCGGCACTTCTTTGGGAGAGAACAACATTTCACCAGATCGAGGGGTGTATAGTCATAAAATACTTCTATTCCAGACCTACTTCCTCCGCGTCAACGAAATTGTCGAAGTTTGACTTTTGATATAAAACGGGGTATTTACTCACCAGCACTCGTACCAAAGGTAAGGAATCGGACATAGGTGATAGTCATCAGTATAGGGTGACGGCAAAGTTTCTTTTTCTGTTATTGGAAGCTGGAATATTTGAACTAGATGCAATTTCTTCGCTATGTCGCTGAGATGGTAATTTCGACTCGCTGAGATCAGTCAGGCGTTGCAGATTTCACATTTCTCGTGCTTATGGCCATTCACTCAAACCTCATCACTGTTTTACTTTAGCTGGGGTGAGAGTGACTTCATGGAACAAGTGGCAGCGCTTGGAGAAACACCGAGGCGTCAGCAAAGTAAATGCCTACAACAGCGATGTCGCTCTGGCTGAGACACTCAGTTAATGATTGTGCCTGCAAGAGCCGTGACGGTGTAGACTCTACACGTTGTGCTAGTGATGTACGCGCAGGTGCCGTACCATGGTATACCAGTGATGCTGAAAAAGAGGGCGCGATGGACGCGATAGTACACTTACCTGCATGAGCTTTGACCACACAGCTAGAATAACTGGGCATGCCACGGCTAAAAAAAGTTCATTTCAAAATCGAGGTGATTCCGCCGACGGTAATCAACCGACCTCGCAACGATCGTGTATTATTACTAGGCTTCGTTGGTGGTGAAGTAGAAATCTTCCAGAGCTAGCAGACGACAAGCATAGCAGCTCTTGTCCTGTGGAGAAAGTCAAAGTGTTTGAGATGAGGAGCGACCAACTTTCAACCTTCCTTGAAATATTTCGGAAAGATATTTTTGCGTCCATTGACATCAGCGACGACGAGGACTTCATCTCTGCATGGAAACTCTCAGTCCAACTGTCCTGGAACGTTACTCTAGTCTTCAGACTATCATACTGTGTAATAAGTTTGAATGGCTTAGCTTATGGAGTTGTCAGTGACAAGTCACTAGTCGAACTGCGACAATTTCGATGACGCGGAGGAAGTATGACGTGTGTGTGTGTCTCTCTCTCTCTCCCTCTCTCTCACTCTCTCTCTCTCTCTCTCTCTCTCTCTCTCTCTTTCTGTCTCTCTCTCTCTCTCACTCTCTCACTCTCTCACTCTCTCTCTCTCTCTCTCCTCTCTCTCTCTCTCTCTCTCTCTCTCTCTCTCTCTCTCTCTCTCTCTCTCTTTGTCAAAAACTCATTGCGGTCACGGAGGACTTTCTCTCGTGGACCCAATGTATGCAGGCGGCGCCGCACAAATGCAAAAGCAGTGCAGCAAAGCTTGTAGATGGCCGGTACAAACCTTACGATCCCTGCCTGATGATGTCAGGGAGGAAGATCGCTTTCATTGACACTGCAGAGTTCAAGTTCCTGGGGCGAAGGCTGCATGCTGATTGCTCTGAGCAGACCCAGCGGGAAGACATCCGTCAACTCACTGTATCTCTCATGCAAAAAGTAGAAGGCTCTTGGCTTCAAGACCACCACAAGCTATGGCTTTACCACCATCTTGTAGTGCCCAGGCTTTCTTGGTCTTTCCAGGTTCTTGAACTCACACAAGGTTTTGTACGTGAACTGCACTTTATGTGTTTACCATTTCTGAAGAAATGGTCAGGCCTACCTCGATGCGCAAACTCTGCCATTCTTTTTATTGGCAGTCGCAAACGCTTTGGCTTACGCCTCCACTACCTTCCTACGGTGTGGAAAAAGTGCCAGTCCATCAAATGGCACATTCTTCGATCGAGTGGGGACGCGCGCATGAGGGCGCTGTACACTCTGCGTCGGAGTAAGGATGCGAAGCTGACAAAGCGATATGCGGCGACAATAGAGCTGGAGTGTGCAGAGGCATCAGTAGGTTCAGGGACTCTCCGTCCACCGTCATCAAGTCATCGTGCAGGGTTGGGTGCTCGTGCTCCGAAGCAGCATTCCAAACCCCCGAGGAAGGATCTCCTTCAAACATTTGAGGAGATCAACGCGCAGGAGCAGATTTTGAGGCTGAAGACTCTTCAGGTGCAAGGCAAGTGGTTGGAGTGGACATCGGTGATGTGGCAGGACCTCTCGTGGAAATCCCTTTTGTACGGTGGTACTGGTAAGGATTTGAAATTTCTTCTCGCATCAACCCTCGACGTGCTACCTTCTCCGACGAACCTACGCCGTTGGGGAAACACCGTAGTGGATCCGTACTGTAGTTTGTGCCGTACCTGGGCCTGTACTACGCGCCACGTGCTTGGCGCTTGTCGCGTAGCGCTGGACCAGGGACGTTACACCTGGAGGCACGACAACGTACTCGGGGTCATCGTCAGGAACATGCGTGAGGAGATTCGAATCCGCACTGCTGCAAACACCGTACAAACCGAAAATTCAAATGAGCTTGACTTCATCTCGTTTTGCAAGGCGGGAGAGAAGCCGGTTCGCGTTCAGCCCAGACGAAAGTTGGTTACGACTGATCTCCTGTCAGCGGCCTCAGACTGGAAACTTCTTGTCGACTCAGTTAGTGCAAAGATTTCTTTCCCTAGCTGTGTTGCACTTACCACCCTGAGACCAGATATAGTTCTGTACTCTACGAGTCATAGGATTGTGTTCTGGATGGAGTTGACAGTTTGTGCTGAGGACAGATTCAGTGTCAGTAACTCGCGGAAGGACAGGCGGTATGCGGATCTGGCCGATCAATGCCGAGCAAACGGGTGGCAGGTCGTTTCTTTTTCGGTTGAGGTAGGTGTGCGTGGTTTCATCCCGGACTCTCTTCGGAGGGCTCTGAAAGCGCTTGGGTTTTCTTATCGAAGAATAAAATTTATTTGTAATTTGTGCAGTAAGACGTCTCTGCGAAGCAGCTACATCATCTGGTTGCGGCGTCAACAAAAACACTGGTCGGAAGATCCACTTTTCTGAGGTACTGTATGTGGGGCTCCGTTTATTGAGGTGCGTTGAAATTTATTCTCTTTATCTTATTATTTCTTTTCTATAATTTCCCCATATGAGTTCCTATCAGTTGCTGTGAACACCTTGAGTGGAGAGCGCTTGCTCGAGCGTTGAACCGGGTTCTTAATCCACCATACCCAGTTCGCAAGGCTGGGCGGGGTTGTGAGCAGGCTTTCATTTCATCTTTTCTTATTATTTCTTATTATTTCTGCTTTTCATCTCATTACAAAAATTCTGCGCTTTTTCTCCATCTGCGCATAAAATCTAGACTGACAACCTGCTTGTTAAATCATGCACCTGCTTTCAGGCGTAAAAACCCTGTTGTAGAGGTCTCAGTCCTCATTTGTTAGACTTACCTGTCTTTATAAATGTAACTTACTCTCTCTCTCTCTCTCTCTTTCTCTCTCTCTCTCTTTCTGTCTCTCTCTCTCTCTCTCACTCTTACACTCTCTCACTCTCACTCTCTCTCTCTCTCTCTCTCTCTCTCTCTCTCTCTTTCTCTTTTTCTTTCTCTTTCTCTTTCTCTCTTTCTCTTTCTCTATCTCTATCTCTCTCTCTCTTTCTCTATCACTCTCTTTCTCTTTCTCTATCTCTCTCTCTTTCTCTCTCGCTTTCTCTCAACCTTTCTCTCTCTCTCTCTCTCTCTCTCTCTCCCCATTCTTGTCTACAGACCTTGATGAGTGTTCTCTTGGTACACATAGCTGTGCTGCTGAAGCTAACTGCTCCAACACCCAGGGTTCCTTCATGTGTATGTGTAACCCTGGATTCACCGGCACTGGCATGGTCTGTCAGGGTAAGTGGCGCCGCCATCTTGTTGCCATGACTACATTACACAAGTATCTACGGTAACCCGGGCAACTTTTGCGTTGGTTTTAGTTTGGGATTTGCGGGCACAGTTTTTGATTTCCTTTCGAGCTACCTTAAAGGGGAACTGTCACCAAAGAGTTTCTTTGTCTTATCATGTAGTTCCATGGCTTCTGATCACGATGGTGTTATTCGTTTTTCTCTGTGATGGCTGGAAGTCGGTGAAAACTTGAAAAGAAGGTGCCCAAAATTGTCCCGAAGTACCGACTGGCGTCACGCCGGACTTGACCTCCACGCGTACATTAACGTACGTTCGTCGTCAAAAACGAAGTCCAGCCCGTGTGCTGGTCGATTGAGCTAGCTGTTCCGATGTACGGTGCACGTTTGCCTTTTGAACTCTAACACAGATGGTATGGGTTAATCTACGTGGTACCGAAGAAGAATGCCAAAGAGGCAGAGGCCCAAGGGCAGCTACACAGCCAAATCAAAATAAAAAGCAGCTGAGCTTTCACCTTTTTGACTTCTTCCGCGATGATCTAAATTATATTTTGTGAGCACGGAAGTACGTTGTTGTTCTGAACTTTTCGTGTGAGGAACAACACGATGATGGGCACGTATGCAGAAAACAGTACTCCTCCGGCCGGCGATAACACCACCAACCAGAGCCCCAAAGAAACGCAATGTAGCTATGTGAAGGCGATTCATCTGGCGATGTTGCTGAAGATGCAGATGACAAACTCCGTCTTTCATTTCAGAGCCGGGTGGGCAACACCGCCACCTTCGATACAACGACATGATTTTCAAGTACGAGGTATGTGTGTCACACTAACAGCAAACAAACATCCTTCCACTCCTTCATAATCACAAATAAAACAAAGAGCTGGAGCTTCGTGGAGGGAGTACCAGTGCGACAAACTTCTGTCGACTTTTGTGTGTTTTGTCCCTTTTTGGCGTTCTCATTGTGTACAACGTACTTAACATACACATCAGTGTCCGAGTTCAGAAGGCAAGCGTGCACCGTACATCCCACAGTTGTCTCGATCAACCAGCACACAGTCTGGACTTCGTTTTTGACGATGAATGTATGCGTGGAGGTCAAGTCCGGCGTGACGTCACTCGGTACTTCGGGACAGTTTTTGGGACCTTCTTTTCAAGTTTTCACTCACTTCCAGTCATCGCAGAGAAAAACGAATAACACCATCGTGATCACGAGCCAAAGAACTACAAGATAAGACAAAGAAATATTTTGGTGACAGTTCCCCTTTATTAAACTCCAAGACCAGTCTTCCGAAATCCAAACTGAAGTGAGTTTCACAATCTGTTCATTACGGTGGCCAATATACTATCATAGTGTACTGCATGTAGTTATACTTTTCAAACCGGTTATCTACAGCAGATAATACTGCTAGCATCGGGAGACTAAAACCGGTAAGGCACTGCATGTAGTATTTATGGTCCGAGTTCATGTAGTATTTCCTACCTCATATCGATCCAAAAGGTACCATTGCTGGCGCTCAGATCGAAGAACAGCAGGTTATACCACTGGAAGGGAAAAGGGTAGAATCAATATGGCACTGCATGTGGTATTTATCATCTCATTTTGAAAAAAATCGAGGCACTCAGATGGAAGAACAGTGCCCATGCTTGTGATACTGATCGTAAATATGATCAGTTCCTCCAGCCGTATGAGTACACAAATCTAAACCGCATCCAACCCCAAAGATAATGTCAAAGCAAGATAAAAATACATGACATAGGTTTTGTGAAGGTCAGACGAAATCAGTGGGCTGCATTTTGGGTGACCCTTTGTCAAGAAACTAGCATCGAGGTCTCTAATGGAATTTTCATGCAGATGTTATTGTTTTTTTGTTTTTTTGTTTTTTTTACTATTATTCACAAACCCAACTTGTAAAATAAATAAATATGAGGACAAAAACAAACAGCTACTGAGCAGGGGCTGCACTGGGCAGCAGTGATGGTGAGGTACCAGGGGCTCCACCGATCAAAGGTCTCGGCTTCAATGCCACAAGCACGCACCAGGAAAAAAGAAACAGAAATGTAAAGCAAAGCTCGATCTAGCTATGGGGAAGTAGAATGGGTAAAAGTACCGGTTGGTATTTAGAAAAATAAAAACAAGATGAAAAGAGATTTTAAATTATCAGTGTTCGGACTGATGTACCATGTACATGTTAATTCCATCAACCAAAACTTATGAACTTTTTCAATAGATCTGATACGAAACTCGCACAAAGAAGTGTAAAGAGGACAAGCTAAAAAAACAGAAAAATAATAAGGCACCCATTTTGATAGTCCAGGGGATGCCCCACACCTGGTAAAAGAATAAACAGAGAAAAGAAAAGAATCATAACAAGTTCTTTTTCATGTGTGCAAAACACAGCTGAGCACTCTGAGCAAGGCCAGGTACACGGATTAGCGGGTCCGGCAAGCAACGGGCTCGAAAAATTACAGGGAATCTGTTGCCCAGTACCAGTTGCTGTCTCTCAGGTGTCTGTAGACCTTTGTCTTGAATGACTGAAAATGTGTTTTGTGTGGGCGCTGCGAGAGCAGCCTCTCAGGAAGGGAGTTCCATGCGCCAATACAGCAGTACGGGAACGACCGCTTCACGACGGATGGAGCTGAGACAGGGAGCGTGTCTGACAGTTAATAGGCGTGGCTAGTGGCATTATTGTGCTCGTTCCTGGTTCTGGGGTTAATTCTAGGTAGCACCCCCTGGCATTTCGGAACTGTTCTAAATTTTTGAAAACACAACCCACTGCCATTAACAAAATACAAGTCACAAAAATTGGGGAGATTCTAAGTCCCCATATAACAGCAATCCCATTTTGAAATTCGCAAATGCATCATATGATGCGTCCGGTACATCTAGGGTTAAAGTCCCCAGCAAGAATGAGACAAGCGTCGTGTTCACGGGCCAAAAGAAGGGTGTCGTCGAGATGATGGATAAGTCAGAGGTCACCGTGCCCGCAAGAACCCGACCGGTAGAGGTGTGAGCTTCGAGGTCAACACTGATATAGTATTACGCCTGACGAAATGATTTCTCTGTCTCTACTCTGGTGGTAGCTTCAGTGGAGACTGGAAAATTATAACGACACTTCTTTGGGAGAGAACAACATTTCACCAGAGCAAGGCGTGTATAGTTATAACACTTCTACTCCAGACCTGTGCAGAAGGATGTGTGTGTGTGTGTGTGTGTGTGTGTCTCTCTCTCTCTCTCTCTCTCTCTCTCTCTCTCTTTCTCTCTCTTTCTCTCTCTTTCTCTCTCTCTCTCTCTCTCTCTCTCTCTCTCCATCCATTCTTGTCTCCAGACCTTGATGAGTGTTCTCTTGGTACACATAGCTGTGCTGCTGAAGCTAACTGCTCCAACACCCAGGGTTCCTTCATGTGTATGTGTAACCCTGGATTCACCGGCACTGGCATGGCCTGTCAGGGTAAGTGGCGCCGCCATCTTGTTGCCATGACTACATTACACAAGTATCTACGATAACCCGGGCAACGTTTGTGTTGGTTTTAGTTTGCGATTTGAGGGCCCAGTTTTTGATTTCCTTTCGAGCTACCTTAACCCTTTCCATGCCAGCATGTTTTCCTGTGTTGGCCACGCATTGTTCAGGTGCTGAGCTCGTCTGTTCAAAGCTGCACGCGCACCTCAGAACGAAATTTATTGCTATTTCACTATACCTTGATGGATTTTCACGATCCATGGCTTGTTGGAAAGATCTGGACCACAGGAAGCCAGGGGTGTTACCCGTGATGGGCACAAACGTAAACGCGTCCATGGCCAATCGGCTCATACTAAAAAAACGCGTATACGCGTCCATGGCATGGAAAGGGTTAATATACTCCAAGACCAGTCTTCCGAAATCCAAACTGTAGTGAGTTTCACAATCTGTTCATTACGGTGGCCAATATACCATCACAGTTTACTGCATGTAGTTGTACTTTTCAAACCGGTTATCTACAGCAGATCATTCTGCTAACATTGGGAGGCTAGAATTGATAAAGCACTGCATGTAGTTGTACTTCCTCCGCGTCATCGAAATTGTCGCAGTTTGGCTAGTATCAGTAATTTATGACACAGGGCGATGGTCTGAAGTCTACAGTTACGTTCTAAGACTATGTTCCGTTTGATGGTGCGCATCACGCCGAGCTGGAGGCGTCGTCCTTGCTGATGTCAGTCGACGAAACAATTTCGTTTTGTACAGAGTCCAGGGTGGCTGCAAGTTGGTCGCGCGTGGTCTCGCATGCTTTGAATTTCTCCAAAGGAAAGGACCTGTCATGCTTGTCACCTGCTCTGAACGACTTAGCATGAGCAGTACGGCCCCCTGTGTGATGGGAATATTTATTCCCACCATCGTCAGAAAGGATACCCTTGAAGGAAGCCCACAAAATACGCCAAGCTGAATCCATGCGCTCCGCTAGTTACTCTTCCCATGTGCTCTTCACAGCTTCGATGAAGTCCTTCACATTCTTCTTCACCACCAACCCAGTGTCCGTCTGGGGTGAATAGTCATAACACTTCTACTCGAAACCTGTTCAGAAGGATGTTTGTGTGTGTGGGGGGGGGGGGGGGGTATCTCTCTCTCTCTCTCTCTCTCTCTCTCTCTCTCTCTCTCTCTCTCTCTCTCTCTCTCTCTCTCTCTCTCTCTCTCTCTCTCTCTCTCTCTCTCTCTCTCTCTCCCCCCTATTTATGTCTACAGACCTTGATGAGTGTTCTCTTGGTGTAGATAGCTGTGCTGCTGAAGCTAACTGCTCCAACACCCAGGGTTCCTTCATATGTATATGCAACCCTGGATTCACCGGCACTGGCATGGTCTGTCAGGGTAAGTGGCGCCGCCATCTTGTTGCCATGACTACATTACACAAGTATCTAGGGTAACCAGTGCAACATTTGTGCTAGTTTTAGTTTGTGCTTTGCGGGCACAGTTTTTGATTTCCTTTCCAGCTACCTTTATAATAAATAACCTCCAAGACCAGTCTTCCGAAGTCCAATCTGTAGGGAGTTTCAAAATCTGTTCATTACGGTGGTCAATAATATCATTGAATATTCTATCATAGTGTACTGCACGTTGTTGTAATTTTCAAACCGGTTATCTAAAGCAGATAATACTGAAAGCATTGGGAAGCTAGGGCCGATAAGGCACTGCATGCAGAATTGTCAATGGAAATTAGCATCGACTTCTCTAATGGAATTTCCATACAAATGTGAGCTTTGAAGTCAACAGTGGGATTTTATTACGCCTGAAGAAGTGAATACTCTCTCTCTACTCTGATAGTAACTTAAGTGGAGACTGGATAAATATAGCGACACTTCTTTGGGAAAGAACAACATTTCACCAGAGCGAGGCGTGTATCGTCGTAACACTTCTACTCCAGACCTGTGCAGAACAATGTGTGTGTGTCTCTCTCTCTCTTTCTCTCTCTCTCTCTCTCTCTCTCTTCTCTCTCTCTCTCTCTCTCTCTCTCTCTCTCTCTATCGCGCGCGCGCTCTCTCCCTTGCTCTCACTCCCTCGCTCTCTCTACCTCTCTCTTTCTCTCCCTTTCTCTCTCTCTCTCTCTCTCTCTCTTTATCGCTCTCTCTGCCTCGCTCTCTCTCCCTCGCTCTCTCTCCCTCGCTCTCTCTCCCTCCTCTCTCCCTCTCTCTCTCTCTCTCTCTCTCTCTCTCTCTCTCTATCTCTCTCTGTCTCTCTCTGTCTCTCCTCTCTGTCTCTCTTTCTCTCTCTCTCTCTCTCTCTCTCTCTCTCTCTCTCTCTCTCTCTCTCTCTCTCTCTCTCTCTCTCTCTCTCTCTCTCTCTTTCCAACTCCATTCTTGTCTACAGACCTTGATGAGTGTTCTCTTGGTACACATAGCTGTGCTGCTGAAGCTAACTGCTCCAACACCCAGGGTTCCTTCATGTGTATGTGTAACCCTGGATTCACCGGCACTGGCATGGCCTGTCAGGGTAAGTGGCACTGCCATCTTGTTGCAATGACTACATTACACAAGTATCTACGGTAACCGGGCAACGCTTGTGTTGGTTTTAGTTTGCGATTTGCCGGCACAGTTTTTGATTTCTTTTCGAGGGACCTTACTATTCACAGTCTTCTGAAATCCAAACTCTAGTGAGTTTTACAATCTGTTCATTACGGTGGTCAATATACTATTATAGTGTACTGCATGTAGTTGTACTTTTCAAAACCGGTTATCTACAGCAGATAATACTGCTAGCAATGGGAGGCTAGGACCGATAAGGCACTGCATGTAGTTGTACTTTCTCCGCGTCATCGAAATTGTCGCAGTTTGGCTAGTATCAGTAATTTATGACACAGGGTGATAGTCTGAAGTCTACAGTTACATTCTAAGACAATGTTCCGTTTGATGGTGCGCATCACGCCGAGCTGGAGGCGTCGTCCTTGCTGATGTCAGTCGACGAAACAATTTCGTTTTGTACAGAGTCCAGGGTGGCTGCAAGTTGGTCGCGCGTGGTCTCGCATGCTTTTAATTTCTCCAAAGGAAAGGACCTGTCATGCTTGGGACCTGCTCTGGACGACTTAGCATGAGCAGTACGGCTCCCTGTGTGATGGGAATAATTATTCCCACCATCGTCAGAAAGGATACCCTTGAAGGAAGCCCACGAAATACGCCAAGCTGAATCCATGCGCTCCGCTAGTTACTCTTCCCATGTGCTCTTCACAGCTTCGATGAGGTCCTTCACGTTCTTCTTCACCACCAACCCGGTGTCCGTCTGGGGTGAATAATCATAACACTTCTACTCCAAACCTATTCAGAAGGATGTGTGTGTGTGTGTGTGTGTGTGTGTGTGTGTATGTGTGTGTGTGTGTGTGTGTGTGTGTGTGTGT